CACAGCTCACAGCAACCTCCAACTCCTGGGCTCAAGCGCTCCTGCCTCAGCCTCCCAAGTAGCTGGGACCACAGGCACCCGCCACAACGCCTGGCTATTTTGTTGTTGTTGTTTGGTTGCAGCTGTCGTTGTTTGGCGGCCCGGGCTGGATTCGAACCTGCCACCTTAGGTGTATGTGGCTGGCGCCTTAGCCACTTGAGCCACAGGCACTGAGCCGTGATCAGGAATTTGAGACCAGCCTAAGCAAGAATAAAACCCCATGTCTACTAAAAATAGAAAAACTAGTTGGGCGTTGTGGCCAGTGCCTGTAGTCCCAACTACAAGGGAGGCTGAGGCAAGAGGATCATCTGAGCCCCTGAATCTACTAAAAATAGAAAAACTAGCGCTCTGGGCATTGTGCCAGACACCTAGAGTCCCAGCTACTTAGGAGCCTGAGGCAAGTGGATCACTTGAGCCCAGGAGTTTGAAATTGTTGCTAGCCAGGGCAACAGAGTGAGATTCTATCTCAAAAAAAAAAAAAACAAAAAAAACAAAAAAAAAATGGAGAGAGAGGATTTCTACAAGGGGATAGAAATGCTTCCCCACATGCTCCATACTTGTTTTTAAGGACCTACTGTGTGCCAAGCATGTGTCTATCACAGCCCCATTCTCAGACAGCTCGTGATATAGTCAGCTAACTAGCAGAGCCCTTGTGATAGAACTGGCGCCAAGCACCTTCTTCCAGGGGTATGCAGCCTCGAGCCAAGCAGTGCAACCCAATGAGCAGAGCTCACTCTGCTTTCTCCCTCCCAGTCACCCTTGTGCAGGACACAACTTGCACAACCTCTCAAAGCATCCCATAAAGAGCCATAGGAGATGTAAGTAGGGGATACTGGGGCCAGGGTCTTTGCTGGAAATAGGAATAGAAACAGAGAAACTCTTTGGTGGAGGTGAGCATAAGCCAGACCTTTGAGGATGAATGGAGTTCACTAGGCGGTGAAATTTCCTTCTCCATTGTGGGGGCAGGAGGTCTCAGCATGTCCTGGGAGTGGGTGGTGCAGCATGTCCCAGGCAGTGGTAGGCGGCCAACTGGGAAGGAATGTAAGTAAGCCTTTCCCTTGCTCCCTCTTGTGTGCTAGCACATGCCAAACTGAACATGGCTTATCTGCCAACCAGAGGTCTCAGCACCTGGACCATGAGCTCCTATAGGACAAGGACAGTGTCTTACATTTGGGGCCCCAGGCCTCACCCAGCGTCAATAATCGTAGCAATAGTAATAGCCACTGGGTAGCAAATATTGACAATCACACTGTGCTCAGTACCCCATCAGCATTATCTCATTTCATCCTCAAATTCTAAAAACAAGTGCTATTTTTTTTTTTTTT